CAAAGAGCAGCAGCGGCACACAGCTTTTCTGATTAGAAATTCACAGTGGGCACTCGAAGTGTGTCTGTTGTAAACGGATCCTCTTTCATTTTATACATAATTCATTAGACCCCTTTGGTGCTGCGTTTTCTACCTCATTCTTCAATTTCCGGTACTTACTATTTTTGCCAACCGCGCGGGTGGTCTCTTTCTCTCTCTCTCTTAACTGGGTGAAAACTAACTGTGGTAACTGTGCAATTAACTAGTGAGAGTAATAGTTTAGTCGTTTGGCACTCCGCGTCGTTTAGCTTGTTTTATTTGTGTGTGCAGGCTGGAGTTAAAACCCCACGAGAACCGTTAAAGTCGAGCGAAAAACGATGACTGAGAGAGCGAGTCGCGATCAATGGCAGCAGAAACTTTTCTTGCAGTCGGCAGAGACTGCGACGTCAGCGCCGGCAGAGGCAGCGACGTCAGCCGGAAGCAGAGGAGTCGAAAAAAATAGAAGCAAAGAAATGCGGGCATACTCACACATACACACTTACTGACCGTCAGCTGCCGATAAAGATAAAGGCGTGCTCCTGGTGCCACTCCACCTCTCACTTACCCTACCCCACCATAACCCCCTGGCCATTTTCCATCTGATTCTTCTTCCTCTTCTCACTCCTTAGTCAATAACAAACTAATGAGCCTTGGCGGCGTCGATGCGTATGCTTTATTGCTTTATTTTGCTGCCATTCACACAATGACCCCACATGCAACAGCAAAAGCAACAAAAACAGAGGCAAGCGCAGGCAGCGGGAATAAACAATATGCAAGGGGGAGCCTCACACTCGCACACACACAGAGACAAAACTAAAAGAAAGAGAAGGCGTGAAGAATCACCGAAATACCAAAATATGTGGTGTAACAGTCAACGGGACTCTTGTATTGTGATTTAATTATCGCCCTCGAATGGGAAAGTAATTGTGTATCGGGGAATGGGCTTGCATTTCGTGGGGGTACTCCACTCCAATTTAAGATAAATCTCTGCTGTGGTCGCGGGGTTAATGGAACTGACTCCTGTTGGAAGTGGTTCCCATAAAACTGCGATCATATCCAATAGATTCAATCCAATCTGTTTCGGAAATTGCGTACAGAGAAATTACAAACATACATTAATATAAAATTAAACATACATAGTATTACCATGTAAATTCACACTGGCCGCCACATATACAGATGAGATAGTTTGTAATTTGTGAAACAATTGATACTAGATGTTTTCTTACTTGTTTCGATTACTGTACCTTCGCCGACTGGGAACAAATAGCGGCTTTGATAAGGAGCGCAAAAATGACAAATCAGAAAACCGCAACAACGAAATCGAACGCCACCAAAAGCTTGAATTTGAATAAAAATCATGATCGGGTGAGTGGGGGAAATGATGGAGATCGGATCGCATTGGAGGTGCTTATCTTCGCCTTGTTTATTTTGGTTTCTGGGGCCTACTGCGATTGATTTTAGTGCGGACTACACATATTTTTCTATTTTCCACATTTTTGTTGATTTGGCATTTATACAATGCCTATTCGGCACGCCAAGTGCCTCCTAAAACCAACAACAGCCACACCACAAATAATGTGCGCCCCAGCAATTATGATAGTATGCCTGAACCATACCGAATTCCTGGGGAATTAGTGGCCTCAAGTGGTCGAACTGAGGGCTACATATATCACTCGAGTTATTCGAGAAGAAAACGCGAAATGAAAATCTGCTCAATCTGCAAACGTTTTCCACTCGCAGCACAGCCACAACGGCCAGCCTTCGAACATCTTTCACACAGATGTTTGCATATGAAATGAGAAATTCGCTCGCCTTTTGTGCCCACAATATAGATACGGATGTATGGCAGCGGTGACAAGGGACCTTTCAACACTTTGGCTTACACACACCCATATACGTAACCCATGCTCCCCAATTGAGCTTTGGACTTTGAGCTTCGTATGTTTAGCACAAATGCCCTGGCAGACCTACGTCTCCGTTCTGCGAACCATTAGATCGGATCGGTTACTTTCAAAGTCACAATGTCTACTTTCACTCATTCCAGGAAGTAGCTAAATCACTATTGATACCTAATTACTATGTTAATAAACATAAGCCCTGTTCCTAGAATCAAGTTATAAACTGTACATGCGTTGGTACATATCCAAAAATATGTTTCATACATGCTGCTTTGCCACCTACTTTCCCAACAAATTCTATAACCATATGTATGTGAACCTCCATAAATTGTTCTGCGCTCTTAAGGTTGTATTGGAATTCCGGAAAAGATTTCTGTTTATTTCCGAATAATTCGCAGCTAAAGACCCCAATCGACAGCTTTAAGGCCAATTGTGCGATCGAGCTTAGCAGGTTAACCGCGAATCGCACTTGAGGAAACGGTATGTTTGTCCCCGGTCCCTCCCCGCCGTATCGCAATGCAATGTTTACTCGAGTTTGAGCAAACGTTGACAAATTCGCCAATAAAGGCGAGAGCAAAAAGCATTATACTCCTCCCCAGTGAACGACTGGCAAATATGTACACGAAATTCGAGCCGACTTCAAGGAAAACCCGCCACAACTTCTATGAGGCGCCCCCCTCCCTCCTTAACAATGAACTAATTTGAAAGATACTTCGGTTGCCGACCGCTAACTGAAATCGCAGGGAAATAATTCAATTTGCTGTAATTTCGGGAGTGGGGGAAATTTAAAAGGCATGTTCCATTCCTATCAAATATTCAAATCGAATTAATACGATTTTGAATCTTTTTTTCAGTTCTGATGCCTAAACTGGGTCACTGGCAAATATAATTAATGGAATATTGTGGGTCAGGTTAGAACAAAAGAAGAAAATTAATTTCAGAATAGCCGATTTCACTACACCAATCATGCAATTAAATTTGCCAAACGTAGTTTTGTTCTTAAATGCGTTTACAAACCTAGGAAATTCAATCACTTTTAGTCTTTTCAAATTAATGTATCTTAATTACATGCATATATTTTTTAAGTCGTTAAACGAATTAGCATTCCATGTTGCAAGTAGTTCATAAAATTCCCTTAGCTGCAATATAAATTGCAGTTGACAATCGAAAATCTTGTGATTGCGCTTCTGCTTCTTCCTCCTCGGCCTATGCCCACCCACTTCATTCGTAAAGGACTCACACATGCAGCGAGACACGCACACAGGCACACTACGCCAGGCACGCAAGCACATACACACACACACAAAGGCATGTAGGCGACGCCAGTTAGGGCGGTGGCTGTCTGCCCGTCTGCGATTGAACGACTGAGTGACGGACTGACGAACGGACGAAGTGACAAACCGACGCTGCAGAAAGTGCGACGCAGTTTTTCGCAACAAAAGTGTAGAAAAAACAAAAAGACGATCCTCGTATCGATAATCTGAGTAAACTGAGACGCAAAAGGGAACGAAAGGCAGAACGAAATACATTCAAAGATCAAATAGTCACAGTAGGCACTCGCTATGTGCGTGCACCTTGCACAAGGATGTTTGGCCGAGAATGAGAAACATGTTGGCAAGTGTAATCAGGCGTACAATGCAAACAAAGAGGAGACAACGACAATGAACCAGAAGTCAAGGCAAAGCGATGGCACAAAGGACCAGAGCGAAGAGCATGCAGGGCGAAGGAAGGCGAGGCACAAAAAGGAGAGAGAGAGAGTGCGACTGAGCCGGAGAGACAGAGTGAAACGGATACAAAGCCACACCGGCATGGTGTTTGCCTCTGCCGCCGTCGCTGCCTGCGCCGCTGCTGCGGACGCCGACGTGGTGGCAACGCCGACGCATTGAAGGCGGCACACCCAAAAATGTTGTAAAAAGGCAACTTCTCCAAAGTGGCAAAATTCGAAAGATGTATTTTGCGGGGGCGGGGTTTATGACAAGGAAATTTCTACTCAAATGCATACAACTTCATTTAAAGATCTCTTTTACTCTTTGCTTCTAGCATTCTTCACCGTTCACGCACACTAAGCCGCCTTTCATGGCGTCCTTTTTCCTGCCTGTGTGTGTGTGCGTCGGCGGGCGTCTCTTTTACAAACACTTGTGCCTCAAATACAGTTAGCATTTCTTTAAACAAGTTACTAACTTTTCTTCGAAAACTATTTGTCTCCTTTTTAATCACAATTCCTTCGAAACAAACGCGAAATTCAGAGCGGGTATACAGAATTTCAAAAGTAGCACCACTCACGCACACACACACGCAAGCCGTCTGTCTGCTTGGCTTTTGTTTAATTTTTTTTTTTTTTAAATTAACGCCTTTATTTTCTGATCTTATGACTTAAAGTGCAATTTACCTGGCTCGATTTTCTCGGTTTCGGTTTAAAAACACACGCACTTGCTTCTTTCTTTGCTTTGCGATTCTACACTGGCAGCAGCTCTTTTTGCCTGCTTTCCGTTTCGGTTTCTTTTCTCGTTCTTGTTGCGCGCTCCACAAATAAAAAATGTCCGCTCGGTTCTGGTATTTTTGTCGCGTTAGGGTGTTAGAACGCGTTAGTGCCTCGGGTCTAGTAATAGTGCTGTCCACGAAGCTGATTTCCCGCCGAATGATTATCTATTAATTAAATATTATATATAATTTAAAGTTTAAAATGTTATTGAAAATTATGAAGCGTATCATTTTATTTTTTATAATTATTGACTTAATTTAATTTAATTATAAACTTTTTATTTATCAACTTTATATTATTTGTGTGTTTACATCAATGATCACAATTAAGAATTTTACAGCCATAATTATAATAACTTACTGCAAAAATAATAAATAATAAAACTTATTCTTATTCTATTAAGAGTGTTCTCTTACCTTTTGAATAACTTATATTAAGCTATGATTGCAGAATTTGTATAAATTTATAGAGCAAAAAATATTTAATTAACATTAACATTATATTCTGTAAATGATAATAATAATGTAAGCTGTAATAATTTGAAGCTCCGTTCTTTTTTTTTTTTAACAGTTTCTTGTAAGTCCTCTTCGGAAAATTAAGTTGGCATGCTCGTTGCTCACAATTGCGTTTTGCTGGGCGAGGGTAAAATTCGCAGAAGAAATTTTATACCACACGAACGGAATTTCTTTCTCCAAATAACAAGAATCAGCCAGCAGTTCCTACGAGCAGGAGTTAACCAGAGCAGGAGAATTTAGCCAGGATACTACCAAGACAATTCGCCTGTACCCCAGGGTCTCCAGTTCCACTGGGTAGCTGGTCTCAGCTGGAGGTGGCGGTGGGTGGTGCTCTTATCGGCCTATGATTTCTTCCATGCCCGCTGCGATAAGAGCCAGGCGGATCTGCCTGTCCAGGTGTGCATTTTTATATTCACTGAACATTCTTACAATGGTTAACCATTCAATACCCGATACTCTGCCCTTCAGTGCAACACCATGGGCTGCATCACCAGCAGCAGCAAGTTAAACGAGCTGCGCGGTCATGAGAATGTGTTCCGAGTACGAGTGGCTCACCTGCAACCAACTCCGGGTACTCCTATCATCCGGAGTGGCTACCTGGAGCTAACGCCCCGAGAACTGATATTCCAGACGCCGGGCTGTGAGCCCATTGTGTGGGCACTGCAACACCTCCGACGTTATGGCCTGAATAACGATCTCTTCTCCTTCGAAGCAGGACGCAGGTGCATGTCTGGGCCAGGGATCTACACTTTTCGAGTCCACAATGCCGAGCAGCTGTATCCCATGTTCCAGCGCTACATCAACGCAGTAAATACAGATGCCTTTGTGCAGGGCGAACGAGAAAGAGTAAACTCCGCTCATTCGGTGTCCGTGAATATGGGTAGAACTGAGGGAAATAACTACCTAGAGCCGGCTCCCTTAATGAACCGGCAGCTGGGCAACTTCCACAGTGAGCCCTCGAGCACCAGCTCATCGTATCCGCTGCAGGCTAATGACTCGCAAGTGGAAGACTCTCCGCCCAATTTGCAATCACCAGTCCTGATACCCAGTGCCTATTTGGATCAGCCATTGCGGGCTTTGCAGGACTGCTGTCTGGAGGGCACCGCCACGGACTTGCTGTCCACTCCGCCCTCTGGCAATAGATTGTCATCACGAAGGCGCACAATGGACTTGCCTCCCCTGGAATCTGCGCCAGCACCAGCTCCAGTTCTGAGTCCCAACGATGCTGTGCACATGTACGCCAATGTGGAAGCTCTGATCTTCGATCTGAGCAATGAGCGCTGCTATGAGAACGTAACTCGCTTGGAGCTGCCACTGCTGCCGAGGGAACCAATTTCCACTCAAGAGCCGGCCACGCCCACCAGCTTGGCGGGCAGCTGCGGAGTAAACTACATAGTGCTTGATCTTGATCAGCCGCGAAGTCCCGTGGGACCGGCTAGTTCACCAAAGGCGATCAATGGATTTGGCAGCGGCTTATCACTGATCTCCACCCCAGCACCTGTCACTGCTCCAGTGACGCCTGAGTCAGGTAATACGTTGGACGTTCCCCCACCCCCCATGCAGTCCCAAAGCCTGAACAGCATCTCTCCTGATGCGGGAGATACTCAAGCGAAGAAGGTAACAGAATGCTCCGGGACCCAAGGCTACTCAACCATCGATTTCATCCGCACTTACGCCTTGAACAAGTCTTCGACTGAACTGCCAGAAACAGTGACGCATCGCCAGCATTCGTCGCACGATGCCGAGGAGCTGAGGATCACCAGGCACAGTAAATGCATACGAAAGGCCTACTCCATAAGTGAGTGAAATGCAGGCAGCAGGAATAGGATTGGTGGAGACCGAGTGCACAACGAATTTACAGGAAGCATAATGGCACCAGATCGCTGGCGAAATAGACCATTTAAGTTAAGGATCTAACCCCACATTTTTTGTGCCAAATCTGAATACAAAAAGATGTAAGGAGCTCTTGATAGCAAAATCAGAATCCTGTCGATCGGCTGCAAGCAATGTAAGGAAGTGTCTAAATTCAGAAGTAATGAAGATCACCACGAAAGGAAAAAAACCGGATCAAAAAGAGTACAAACGTAAAAGAAGAGTGGCCAAAAGATTTATTAACCCCGAATTGTTCGATTCAAATTGAATAATGTTGACCAATTATGAAGATGAAAATTCCGAACAGTAATCGAATTGAAACACAAGCTGTGCAACTAGAAGGTTGAGCAGATCAAATGAATGATAGCTTGTTTAAAAATATGAACATAAACTACTAAAATTAACCACACATGGGATCAAACAGGATTTTGTTGAAGAGATTGATGAAAGCGTACAATATTTTAGAGTTATCAAATGTTCAATAAGCTTCATAACGTTTTAAACTTTTTCAGAAACATTTTCGTGATGCTGGTACTTCTGATTATGAAAGCTTAACAAGGAGCTAAGTAACTTTTCTACTATTTTCAAGGGATTTTCAAGGGAGTATGATTAAATGGAAATGGATCTCTCTCGGATGGGGGAAGGAAAAGCTATGGAGGTTGATGAGAACGTGTTGCACAACGAATTTACTGCAGGAGATTGTAGTAAAGTGAAATTTGAAGAGTGATTTGTCCAAAGATTTGTTTGCTTCCTTATGCGCCAAGCTAGAACGCAAACGAGTAACAATATTATAACCAGGTTGTTTTTGTAGTCAGTACAGTAAACTCAGAAAGCCATAAACACATAGACGTGAATTGCATACGTACATAACTTGTATTTAAGGATATTAACATAGCATTACTTACATCGCAGCCAGCGGCTGTTTAGATCTAGTCATTTTTGAATTTGTGCATATAAAATAGTGAGCAACACGAAAGGCTTTTAACATTAAAATTGTACATGGTAGATACTTAAGTGTAGCTCATAAGCACCAGAAAACACATCACCGACGTACACGTACGTTTGTTGTTGGCCAAGGCTTTGATTTTGTATTTTGTTGCCAAAAAAAAAAAAACAATGGTAGAAAGCATCGCGTTGCATTGTCCGCTGTGAGTTTATAATTTTTTACATATACATATATCGCTGAATTGTTATTCAATTTGTTAAGAGTAATATACACTGATTGCCTCAAGGAGCATTCTTCGGTTTACACGAGCGAGATAAAATCAATGTTCTTGCAGTTGCATTCATGTATGCACATATGTACTTAAGAAGAATACGTGCAATAAAGCTCAAATGACCCTGTAAATTACATGTTTTTAAAGTGGGCATTATACATACCATCATATCAGATCTGGATCATGGGTTTCGCTGGTAATTTTGAGTTTACTTCACCGCTATTTCTTTAAAGAGATAACATAGATCACAAAAGGATTTCGATGAATACCGATATTAAAATACCCTTCTAATTTGACTAGTTCCCGAGATCTGAAGTTCTTGCTTTTTTGCTTCTAATAAAAAATGCGATTTTTCGGTGCTTAATAAATTTCAATCTTAATCGCTAAATGAAAATAAAAATATTTTCCCAATTTAAATTTATTTTAGTTGATAATTTTTTTGTACATTCACCATTTAACTGTTTCTTTATTGATTTTGAATTTCCATTTTTTGTTATTCTAAACCTTTATATCAGCTTAAACAGCAGTACTTTCTTAGGGGTTTTGAGTTCAAGGACAATGTTAAAATAAATTACAACAACTTATTATCAAAGTTGTAATACTCTTAGTGAGTGTATCAGATCCCTCCCGTTTCAGAACTCTACTGCGTCATTGTTCAATTTGGCGATAAGAAGAAAGTGATCAAATCCAGCAGCTTTTCTCTTCCATTGTGTGCTCATCGGGTTCACTTAGCGCTCTTTCTTCAGATCCCGCATTCTTCGGGAGAGCTCCAGTTGCGAGAGGAGGAGCTGTCAGTCAGTCAGTCACTTGGGGCCAGTTGACATTGACACATGGCATTGGATAGACGGACGGAAAAATGCAACTGAATTGGAATCTGGCCTTGGCCTTGCTGGCGCTGCTCCGCCTGCAACTCGGGCATGGATCAGAACTTAGCTTGGATGCGGCTTCAGGCGCTGAAATGGCACGCCAGATGGCTGCCCATTTGGCGCCCAGCACCCCCACAGATGTGCAGGAAACCGCCGCCATGGCGGTTATCAGTAGAGTAATCGGCGAACGATCTTCTCAATTGTTTATGGTGCAGGTTAATAAGCATATGGATTTACGTAGCTTTCAGGTAGGTACGTATGGCAATAATATTTGCTTAATTGATACAAAGATTTAAAATTTACTTAAACAAATAATGAAAAGAGGGGTTAACAAGTGAATCAATCTCTGAATATTGCCAATAAGAAAGTTCCGCTCTACCTTGCAGATTACCAAGTTGGATGATGGCCGGATTCTGCTGATGGGATGGGATGGCGTTTCCGTGTGCAAGGGCTTCCATCACTACCTCAAATACGTTTTAAATAAGGACGTGGATTGGTTCAAGATGCGCATTGAGTTGCCCACCAACTTGCAGCTGCCCAATGTGACCATCGAGTCCAAGTCAGCGAGCCCGTTTATCTATCACCAGAACGTGTGCACCTGGAGCTATAGCTTTGTGTGGTGGGGCTTTGAGCAGTGGCGCCGTCACCTGGATTGGATGGCCCTGATGGGCATCAGTCTGACCATAGCCCCGGTTCAGGAAGCCATTTGGGTGGAAGTGTACACGGAGATGGGCCTCAGCCTGGAGGAGATCGATGAACATCTGGCTGGACCAGCTTTTCAGGCCTGGCAGCGCATGGGCAACATCCGTGGGTGGGCGGGACCACTGACGCCGGAGTGGCGACGCTATCAATTACTCCTCCAGCAGGAGATCATCGCTGCCCAGCGAAATCTGGGCATGAGTGTGGCCTTGCCCGCCTTTGCAGGTCATGTGCCACGGGCTCTAAAGCGCCTACATCCCGGCTCGACTTTTATGGAAGTGCAGCGATGGAACCAGTTCCCAGATCGATATTGCTGCGGCCTATTTCTGGAACCAACGGATAATCTTTTCAACGAGATAGCTTTGATTTTCCTGCAGAAGATTATTACAGCTTATGGCTCAAATCACATCTTCTTCTGCGATCCCTTTAACGAACTGGAGCCACCGGTGGCCAAGCCGGAATACATGCGTTCTACGGCGGCGGCGATATACGAATCCATACGCCGCCTTGATCCTCAGGCCATTTGGCTGCTTCAGGGCTGGATGTTCGTGAAGAATCCCTTTTGGACTACGGACATGGCTGAGGCTTTCCTCACGGCCGCACCACGTGGTCGCATATTGGTGCTCGATCTCCAGAGCGAACAGTTTCCGCAATACGAGCTAACGCGCTCTTACTTTGGACAGCCTTTCATATGGTGCATGCTTCACAATTTTGGCGGCACACTTGGAATGTTTGGATCAGCTAAACTGATAAATTCCGGAATAGAAGAGGCGCGTCGGTTGCCCAACAGCAGTTTGGTGGGAACGGGTATCACACCCGAGGGAATTGGCCAGAACTATGTGATGTATTCATTCACCTTGGAGCGCGGCTGGAGTAATAGACCTTTGGATCTGGATAGCTGGTTCACAAGTTTTTCACACGCCCGTTATGGCGTTAAGGATGAGCGTTTGGAGCAGGCTTGGCTGCAGCTGAAGAATAGTGTCTATTCCTTCCATGGTCTGCAGAAGATGAGGGGACAGTATGTGGTGACGCGAAGGCCATCCTTCAAGCAAGAACCCTTCACCTGGTACAATGCAAGCGCGGTGCTCGATGCCTGGCACCTGTTGCTCTCCTCCAGAGCCATTATTCCGCTAGAGGATGACAGATACGAGATGTACGAGCACGATTTGGTGGACATAACCAGGCAATTTCTGCAGATCAGCGCAGATCAGTTGTACGTCAATCTAAGGTCGGCCTATAAAAAGCGACAGGTATCGCGTTTCGAATTCCTTAGCTCCAAGCTGTTGAAGCTCTTTGATGATATGGAGCTGATCCTGGCGAGCAGCAGGAACTTTCTGCTGGGCAACTGGCTGCAGCAGGCTAAGCAGGCGGCTCCCCACCCTGGGGAACAAAGAAACTACGAATTCAATGCCAGAAACCAAATCACCGCCTGGGGTCCCGATGGTCAAATTCTGGACTACGCGTGCAAACAGTGGTCCGGCCTGGTGAGCGATTACTATAGGCCTCGCTGGAGACTTTTCCTGGAAGATGTGACAGTGGCCCTGCATTCCCTGCGACCCTTTAACGGCACCGCTTTCAAGCTGAAAGTCTCTCAGGAAATCGAACTGCCTTTTAGCAACAAAGTCGACGTTTATCCAGTGACCCCAGTTGGCAACACCTGGTTTATTTCCCAGGACATTTTCGAAACCTGGAAGGCCTACTCAAAGGACACACTCTTTCTACATAACAACAGATTGTCAGTGCCTCGAAAATTGGGTCACAAATAATTTGTATAACTTTCAAATTGTTCGGTAATACTGCCACCCCAAATGTTTTGTACATCTTTCTCTAAATTGTCTATAAATATTCGAAATAAAAATGTATGGACACTAGTTTAGCAAGGCCTAACTTGTGTGGTTAAATATGTATGCGTCGCCTTAAATCCAGAAGATGGTCAATCATTATATTTTTAAGTGAAACTTAGATGTGGCTTTGCATCATACATCAATGTAGTTTTAATTGATTTTTATTTAAATTAATGTACAAACTAATTATGTAAAAATTTAAACATGATCATTAATACGCATTACTATGGTTATTTTTGTTTTTCTTGATGTATTTGTGTTTTGGGTATCTGCGTTTTAGTTCTCTTTTTTCACACATTGCATGAACTCTATTCTGGTTATGATGCTGTGTTTTCTTGATCATCTTATTGCGTCCATCGTCTTCAACGTCGGGTTAATGCTAACTTTATGCAAAAAGATTGCATATAATTTTGTTACTCCTGCAGCATCTGATCTGTTTAAGTCACTACAATATAATTTTACTTTAGGGTTTTTTTCATCATTTTGTTGTTTCCTTTGCTTATGTTTGTGTGGGGTTCTCTGAGAGGTGTGTTTGTGTTTGCTCAAATATTCATTCATACTCGATATTTCTACAATTACTCATTTAAAAAATTCCAAACAAACATTATTTTATATTAGTACAATAAAGTTTGCATCTTTCGTATCGGTTGCGTGTAGTATGATGTTTTACAACTATATAATGTGAATAAGGGGCGGGAGTTGGGAACTGGCTGGGCTTTTTATTTATGCTGGTATGTCGAGGACAATGCGCAAAAATATGTTAATCATATTAATGTATGTAATTGCGCACGAATAACCATTTACTCATTCACCATTTAACGCAGCTATATCTGTATAGGTGTATGTGTATGCACGTGTGTTGGGTCTTGTGTGGGTGTATTTATATATATAACGTATTTATATGCATTCAATCAAACAAACATTTATACTTTCTCGCTCGAGAAACACTCATACATCACCATCCTTTTATCATTCTCAAGCATCAACTAAAACATTCTAGCTCAGGGACATCGACATCGACATCTATTCGTCCTGCATATCCTCGGGCAATTCGTGCGGATTCAACATTCCTGGAATATTACGCTGCATCTGATGTTTGTTGGACTGCTCTTCGGCCAGAGCCGCTTCACGCTCTTCCAAGTACAGATCGGAATCGTCTTCGCCGGTGGCCTCCTGAAATTGAAATTATACATATATATTCGGTTAATGATATTTAAAAGCAGTTGAAATTGCCAATTGTATCTGCACTATTTACATTCCGCTGCAATGGCAATTATTCGACTAATACTCACGCGAATCTGTATGAGAAAATCTCTCAAATGCTCCTTAAATGCTTGCACATTCTCGTCTAAATTGAAAAGGCCAGTGACAAAGACTTTGATCTGATTATCGGACAGATGGTTAAATGCCGATTTCAGCAGGGACGCGACATACTCCTGTATGAATATCATATTATCCGGTATCGGACCCAGGTTGACCGTAATCTTCCTGTTCTCCACCAGTGAGAACATGTACGCCAGAATGATGGCAT